CGGTGTTTTACCGCTTCACATGTACTATGTTATACCGTTTAGTTGATGGCCCCGAAGGCACATCATTGTTGGGGATTCCCCAGCAGGGCACATCGTTGTTGGGTAGTCCCCAATGGGGGGGGGGTCGTATTTTGGGGGGAAAATTTGTTTTGACAAATTGATTTTTCTCGCTTCATGGACGGGTCCAGATTAACTGGTTTTACCTACGTTTGAGTGACCGAAATTTTTAAGGAAAAAAATCTACGTACAGCGACGAATAACTCACACTTGAGATTGATTTTCATCTAGACCAATGAGACAACAATGAGCTGATAGCGATCTGTATATGATGCATTTGATTCAGATCCCGCAGCCGATTGGGCCATGTCGCCCTCTGTGCGAGACCGTCCGCGACAAATGCCTGCCACTCCTCAAAGATTTCGGCTTTTCTTGGCCGACACAAATCGATTGCAGCAAGTTCATTCTGGGTAGGTTATACAACAATGGCACCATTTTATAGTTTCAAAAGCGCAAAAGAAGGTTTCTTTTTCTCTTTGAGTTTGGGTTTCAGCCAGAGATCTGAACTTTATCCCAAGTTCAGAGCTTTAACAACACCATTACAACCGTCATCTTTTTTTGCTATTTTGCATATGTAGAAGAATGTGACAATATCAAAATAATTCGCGAAAGGTTAGAAAGCCGAGCGCAGTCCGGCGACGGAGGAAGGGGCAGTTCGCAGTACCGCTGCTTCACTAGTTCCGGTTTACAAGTCTCACTCTGGTGGAACCTGAAATCACTCGCTAAGGTTGAGCTAGCTCATCGAGGCACCATGGTGAAACTTGTCAAATCATTGTGAGCCCGCGAAATGGTTCTTCAGATGGGTCGACACGTCCATGGAGAGTAGCAAAAGTGGAAAATGCCCCCCCCCCCTTATCGCCAAACTGCCTCGAACGTCGCTTTGTTCTATTAATACTTTAGCAGGTTAACTAGAGGTGATGCGCGCACAAGCGCAGCCTGTACCGACTGAACTGCGTACACCCTGGCACTGTTTCGTACCATATGAATTCTGGGAGTAGGGAGCTGAATCATGCTGCAGACAGCCCTTGTAGTGCGCCGTAAACTCTTATTCGCTTCGGTAACACAAAGACCAGTATTAATATAAAAAAGACAACCATGATACCGAAACTCA